AGATAAAATGCATGGTATTATCTCCACCCCTTTATATTTACTGAGGGTTGCCCTATGGCATAATATATGGTCTATTTTTGAGAAGGATCCATGTGATACTGAGAAAAAAGTATATCCACTTGATGATGATTGATATATTCTATATATGTCAGTTAAGTCTATGTTATTGATTGTGATATTGAGTTCTATAGTTTATTTATTCAACTTTTGTTAGGAGGATCTGTTCAATGGTGAGAGAGGTGTGTTGAAGTCACCCATAATTATTGTGTTGTGGTCTATTTGATTCTTGAACTTGAGGAGATTTTGTTTTATGAACATTGCAACACCATTATTTGGTGCATAAACATTGATAATTGTTATGTCTTGTTGGTTAATGGTTCCTTTTAACAGTATATAATGTCCTTCTTTATCCCTTTCGATTAACTTTATCCCTTTTGATTAACTTAGTCTTGAAGTCGATTTTATTCGCTATGAGGAGGCCACCCCTGCTTGCTTACGAGGACCGTGTGCATGGTATGTTTTTTCCCAACCTTTCACCTTCAGCCTGGGTATGTCTTTTCCAATCAGATGTGTCTCCTGGAGGCAGCATATTTTTGAATTTGTTTTTTTTAATCCATTTTACCAGCCTATGTCGCTTTATTGGTGAGTTTAAGCCGTTAACGTTTAGAGTTACTATTGATATGTGGTTTCTACTTCCATCCATGTTTGATTATTTATCTTTTTTTAAAATTTGGTTTGTTTCTCCATGATTAGATTTCCCCCAGCCCTCTGGCTTTACTGAGGTACTTCCCACTGTTGGTTTTGGTTATTGTTTTTCATTTCTTCCTTGTGTAGTGTTTTGCTCAAGATTCTTTGCAATGCTGGTTTTCTGGCTGCAAATTCTTTTAAATTTTGTTTATCATGAAATATTTTTATTTTGTTGTCATACCTGAATCTTAATTTTGCTGGATACAGAATTCTTGGTTGGCATCCATTGTCTTTCAGTGTTTGTAATACGTTGTTCCAGGATCTTCTCGCTTTCAGCGTCTGTGTTAAAAAATCCGTTGTTAACCT